AGATACACAGATAATAGGGGACAACATTCTATGAGCATGGAAATGGTCATAGTCCTGGTGGTCTTTAGTTCTATGAGGCTCCAGGGAAATATCATGTTACTTCCCCTTCTTCTCTGTATCATAATATGTTGCTTTTTTCTACTGGATCCGTGTCAATTGGATGTTATCCCCTCCAGACAGTAGCAATAAAAATGTTGAAGATTTACCTTGTGTGGCACTACTGGACTGTCCAGCTTAGAGAGGTGAAGTTAGGGTTGGACACAAAGAATTGAACTGTCTTTTGCAGCCACTGTTACATTCTGTTGATTCCTCCTCCCCATCTGCCTAAACTCACAGAGTACCCAAAAGTTTTGATAATATTTTGTGGCAAAGATTAAACTTATAATATTAGGGACTTCTATCCAATTTTGATATTCAGTAAAGGTATGTTTTTCCTGAACAAATGTATACAAACATATAATTTTAAAATTCACTTGAATTTTTAAAGGATTTCATGTAGTCTTTCTGGAGGTCATGTAAAAATGACTACTAAAAGACTGGGATGCCCCAAAATCAAGGAGGTTGACATTATCACCTGTGTTGGAAACTGCTTGTCCTGGGAAGATGTCATATTCAGGTGCCTAGAAGCCTGTTGGGGGGAAGGGCATTAGCTTTGCTGTGGGATCCTGGGGGATGACGGTTGCAAGTTGGACCTCAGTAACTTCCAAAAATTAGAGCTGCCCATGAATGACACTTGTTCCATTTCCCAGCACTGGGTGGTTTAAGTGGGGACCACATGATCATTTACATAGGAGATCTGAGTATCCAATGGCTGGGAGGGTGGGGCCAGAGGTTGCTTAAGGTCCCTTCAACCCCGACATCATATACTAGCTCTTAAAATTGATCTCCCTAACCTGGATACAATCGACTTACATACCTACAGTTAGCTATGGATTGTCTTCTAGGTGTATCATCCCAAGTGCTTTACCTGAATTACCAAATTCAGTGCTGTGTGCCATGTTACATCATCTGTTTTACAGATGAGGACACTGAGGCACAGATGTTAGGTCACATGCCTCAGATGAAACTAAGGACGGAGGCTGATTGGAGCCCAGGCAGCTGACTCCTCGGTCCATGCTATTAACCGCTATGCCCCACTGGCAGGTAGCGGTCAAGAGCGGGCTAGGACTGTCTGGAGGTGTTCTTGCATATTACATGCATAATCATTATGATGATAACTTCAGACATACCTTTTAGACTGTAATTTTTTATAGAAAACAAGCTAGATTTCTGGTTCTGGAATTATTATGGGTATAAATTTTAAAATCCCAGGCAATTATTTTCAAAGGTATCTGTTTACATTGACTATTGATTCTTTGCATGTTTATGCTTGCCAAAAAGACACAAAAATTCTTTAACTCATTTACCATCCCCAACTAGAGACTACCTTCTAGCCCTCCTGAGAAATGTCCACAAAACCAGCCTCTATTGGTAAGAGGTAACTATTTCTAACACTTCCCCTACAGTCCTATATAAAATAGGCATCTCTTATGCAATAAATCCCACCTTACATAAGCATATTCCTGGTCACTCAGATATTGTTGGAATCTGAAACATGTTCAATAAAAAATCAATTTCATACTGAAGTCCAGGTATCCCATTTTCCCTTCCTCTCCCATAATGCACAAACCAAAACATTTTCCAGCACTGATCAATCCGAGAGTAATTTTCATGGCAGTGAGTCAGCTATTCTAATGATGTAGGTGGCATGATTACAAGGTATCCCTTATGTCAACTTTTCTTTTGAGATTTTTATTCTCGTATCTGTAGGAAATTCATGTCTAGACTTTTTCTTAAGCTAAACCTTCTACCTTTGCTGTTGGGCTAGTTCGTGCTCCACCGATTAGCCCCTTTCCTTTCCTCGGCAGGCTCTCCCTCTCCACACACTCTAATCACTCTGACCACAACCCACCAATGGAATGTGTAGCTTGTAAACAAGGCTAAGAACCAAGCCAAGTTACATCATTCCTCTTCTTAAAAACCTTTGTTATTCCCCAGTACTACAAAACAAATCCTAATTTTTTAAAATGGCATCCTAGGCCCTCTACATTCTTACTCCAGGTGACCATTCTAGTATCATGTCCCACTCTATTTTACTAGAGACTTCTTTCAGCTACACGGCTTCCTCTAAACACTTTGCCTCTGTGTCCTTGCTCAGGTTATTTCTTCAGTCTGAAATGACTCTTCTGCCAACTCCCTATGCTTGGTGAGATCCTCATCTGTGAAGTCTTAGCTCAGGTTCACCACAGCCAATGCCTTCCCCATCCTCTTAGTTAGGAGCCATGACATCTTCCTCTGAGAACGATCTCTCTCACCTGCCAAGTCAGTGAAAAATACTTACCCAGTGAGCCTGGAGGTGGACAGCCCAAGGTGTTCTCACTGGATCAGGCTCCTCTGCCTTCCACACCTTGTGGCTTCCATCCTTATTGGTGCTTCAGTTTGCAAGAGCACTGTTCCTCCTCCAGCTTCCCATCCGCTCTAGGGAGAAGAGGGGAAGGAAGCCACAAGAGGGATGGCACCTGCATGAGGAAAGCAACTTCCCAGACAACAGTGGGGGCGAGGGGTCTGGTATGCCAACTGGGTGCGTCGCCAGCCTGAACCAATTCCAGGTGTTCTGTTCGTAAAGAGAACACATGCCGGCTGGGGTCCCAGCAGGATTTGCCCTGAATGTTCTTCCCTTTCCTCTGCTCCCACACTGATCTGTTTTACAGAATAGTCCATTGTTGATGCCTCTCTTCACTAGGTTTGAAGTTCCTTAATGATATCTCATCCACATTTTTCTATCTTAGAACTTCCTCATCCTCATCTAGGACATGAGATGTATTTAATAAAGGGTTTTTTTTTTCTTCATTGCTGAACACACACTACAGATGTGCTCTAGTCTTTGTTCTGTAACTAAAGATGGGCCTGTGTGGAAGGTAGTTTAAAGCAACTCACTGAAAGAAACTAGATTATAGTAACTGAATAGCTTATTACAGAAAAAAGAGACCTCAAAAATCAGGTCCCTGCTTTATCCAAAACTCACCCCCCCCCCCCAACAATATCCTAATAGCTGCCAAAGTAAAGTATCCTACCTTGTTCATCTCATGACAGAATCTCAGCAATACACATAATTATTCATATTCACCTAATGGACAGAAAGCACATTAAGACAGACCCAATAAAGCCAATCTCCAGCTTCACCTGTCCTCCCAGGAGGCCACCAGAGCTGGGTGTGGTGGTGGGTGGGGAGTAAGATAGAGATACAGAAACACCACCTTTCTTTCTTATCATTGTGATTCCCCACAAACACATAGACTCATCCACACACGAGAAGCAATGGTTTCAATCAATATTCTTCAGAAACAGGAGGGCAGAAATCAGACCAAAGTTGAGGCTGCTTCCAACGGACAATCCAAGTAGGTACTTCTTTCTCTCCCCAACTTTTAGAAAAACTACAGTGGAAATCATTTAGGCCTGGAGCTTCTGTCTATGATGATCTGGCACTTAAGGTCTCAGGGTAGAAGGAAGGGTCAAGTCTACCCTCATTGAGTTTTTAGTATGATCTGATCCGTTAACTGGAGCTGGCCCTGAGGAATATAGCAGTAAAACTAAAGATGCCCTATGGTTCAGGAAGGAATCTAGATTCTTGTTTCCCTGTATGTCATCCATGCCTGGACGCCATTCTTGCATCGCTCCACATCACATCATCTGTACTATTAGTCAATACATTATTTGTATTTTATTCAAAAGTCCCTGGTACATCGTTTAGAGTTGTTTTTCCGGATGTCCTTTGAGATGGCACAATCCAGAGTCTGGGATGTTCTAACTCCTCTCTGTTGGGTCCCACCTCCCACGGGCACCGTCTGGTCTTCACTGCTCTTCTGTTTGCATCCAGCAAAGCACTCAGCAGCTCTGCACATTACTCAAAAACCCATGTACTCACAAAAGAAATAATGTTCAAATAGTTCCTTTGCAATTGTTTTATTCAAAGCAAATTAAAAAACCTAATATATTTTCCTTTAAAAAAGGGTTTTTTAAAAAATATATTTTATTGATTTTTTACAGAGAAGAAGGGAGAGGGAGAGAGAGTTAGAAACATTGATCAGCTGCCTCCTGCACATCTCCCACTGGGGATGTGCCAGCAACCAAGGTACATGCCCTTAACCGGAATCGAACCTGGGACCTTTCAGTCCGCAGGCCGACGCTCTATCCACTGAGCCAAACCAGTTAGGGCTAAAAATGGGGTTTTTAAAAAATAGTTTTATAATTAGTGTTGACGTTGCTTATCTTATCCTCAACATATTTGATTTGTATATTAAGTTAAAGTTCTCTGATAGCCATGTACATTCTAATCTTTTCTAGGTATCTATGAGATTTCATATCCAAAAGCCAACACTACTTTTCTAAAATTAAGAAGAAAAAAATTCCTTGTTCCCAATGTAGTAGACAATTGCTCCAACAGGTAAAAAAATCCTTTGCTTTTGGCCAAATGTCAGGTCTTGATTTCTGTTGTGTGAAACAAAGTGTTTTTTGTTTTTTTCAGAGAATGGACGGAGCCTTATTCTTTAGGGTTGGTTTTCTTGTATGTTTTTTTTTTTTGGTCTCAAAGATGTGTCTAAAGTGGGTATCTGAACATTATGATGATTTGGCCTGTGCGGTCCAACTTTGAGATGATATTTTCACATCAGGGAAGATGACATTAGGCAGCTGTCCTGTATGTAATCCAAGCATCTCAGCGTTGCCACCTTAGGTCCCTCTAATGAAGAAGACAAGACTCCGATTTTATTTCACCAACAAATCAAGTACATGGCAGTCAGGAGGGCGTGGGGGGAGGGGTCACAAGAACATGACATAAAAATAAATACTTTACACACGTTTTCCCATGTCTAAAAGTGTTAACATTCTAACTGAAGAAGATTGGAAGGTAATTACCTAACTCAATTATTTATAAAAAATATAAAAACACACAAACCACGTGATGCAAAAAAAAATCTTTTTAATCTAAAAACTCATTTCCCAGGGCTAATTCATTCCCAAGCCCTACCAATTTTTATCAGTTTATTAGACTAACAAGAGCTATTCAGCATTTTCGTCAAAGTAAGATAATATATAATAGATTTCGATAAACCTTTCTCAGTGAGGATATGATACTGCAGGCAGTTCAAGGAAAAATAGCCATAACTTTTTCTTTGGTGTAACCAAAAGGATATCCAAAAGTTAGCAAATGTTGACGTTTCAAGTGATAAGAAATTGCCAAATGGACGTTTAAACTCTGGTAAAAACAGTTGTACAAGGAAAAGCTCCACCCACAGTTCTGTAGTGCAAGTTTTCAAATTTCATTCTGAAAAATAAGTTTATTTCATAAGCAGGAAACAAATTGCAGCAGTGTATCACTCGCTCCTCTGCCTTCTCTCACCCTCTCTGCATGTGCACACCCTCATTTCAGTTCTCGAAGGTCCCCGCTATAAAGGAGGAAATTCATTAAAAAATCACCCACGTTTCTAACAATCGGGCTGCGAGTTGTGTCTGTGGCTGCACAGCAGCAGGCTCCGACTACAGCGCTGTCCCTTCCAATGTTTGTCATTTTTACAAAAAAGAAACAAAGCCTTTTTTCCCCCAGAAAAAAGTACCTGAACCCATTAGTCACTTAGCCCTTTCCCCACCGTTCGGGTTAACCACGAAAGCACACCTGTGCCTATACCCATGCGTTCTGTGCACTCAGAACCAGCAAATCTACCACCTCGTTCTCGAAGTCACGGTCCTCTCCCTTCTGGAACGCACTCATTTCCACACATACTTTCAAAGCATCGCCACCTAGTCCAGAAGCTTCCATTACTCTACTTGTGTCTTTTTCTCCTCATATATCTGTACATGTTGTGTGTCTGTGTATTTTTCTTAAAACATAAAGTGTTCAAAATGCACACATACACACCTATTCACACACACCCAACATTTAACCAAAAAAAAAAAAAAAATCTTCCCCAGGAAGCACTTTCAGAAGTTAAGCTTCTACTTGCTTTTAAGCCACAGGGCAAGTGCCAAGTGAGTCCTAGGTGACCCTCATCCACTGCAGGCAAGGCAGTGCCCGGGTCCACAGCACACACACGGGTGGGATCCCTGGGCAGACAGGGAAGGGCTCCTCGGGCTTCCTAGAGCGATGGGTTGTGCATCCCCCCACGTCACCTGGGAGATCCCATTCTTGCCCCTAACTTGCTTCCCTCAGAGGACCCCCGCACTGTTCCGACGGGCCCCTGCCCTGGGCACCGGTTGTCCCATCTGCGGGACCACATGGCAGGCTTCCCCCATCCATGTCATCCCCCACCAGTCCGTCCAGGGAACAGCCCCTTGCAGCGCCCAGGACACGGCGAGCCCTGGTGTCCACAGGCTCCGTGGCCTCCCCTTCGCCTTCCGAGATGACGGTCATGGGGCTGCTCTGGATCCGGTTCCGCAGGCTGTACCTGCTGCTGGCTGCCGAAGGTGGGGTTCGACTGCGGCCGTACCTGGGGCCGGAAAAGGACAGACTCCGAGGCATCAAGCCTTCGTTCCTGGCCCACTCCTCCTGGGCCCTTCTGTTCTTGCTCGGGGAACAGCTGGACGGGCTGTCGGGAGCGTCTGGCGCGGGCTCCGACCTTGACCTCTGGAACCTAGGGTCTGTGTTCTTAAGCATCTCGGCTGCGGACATGCGGGCACCCGTGTCTGACCGACTCCCCTTTTTCAGCAGCAGAGCTTTGAAGTTGTCACTGCTGGTGCTGCTCTTGCGGACACTTCTCTGGATCGATCCCACCTGCTTTGGGGAGGCCAGGCTGGGGGCGGCACCGGTGGGCGTCACTGGCGGGGAGGGAGAATGGTTTCTGGTGTGATCGTCCTCTGAATCTTTACGGCCAAGGACTTTCCTCTTGGATCTGAGATTTAATAACATTAAGATAAAGGTTAATTCCAAATGGGCCACTGGATGTCAGCCACAACCACTATGCTTATCTTACTGCACATTCAGGTCACCATCTATGTAAACCTCCACACATCCATGCACGAGAATAGTTCATTGTATTTAGCATGTGTGCCCATGACCCAGCTATCATTATTAACTTATGGCCTCTCATCTTTAAACTCCACCCTCACTGGATTATTTTGAAACAAATCTCAGGCATAATAACTGGATAGGACCATTACTAAAGTTTTTAATAACTGTCATTTCTAATTTAATTCTCCTACATTGGACTGATCCTGACTGGATTTCATGGTGCTGGCAATGAAAAGGCCTAACAGCCAATTTCCAGAATACCCTACCCCCTCTACCAAGAAGGGCCCCCACCCAGGTTCTAGAACAATTCTACAAGAGTTTGACATAAAACCAGTCTTCCTTGGCTCTTACTGGGCCATATGTCAACTCCTAGAAGTCCAACAGTCCAGAAAACAAAAGCGAACCTCCCACGCCATGTCCTGTTTCGTGACTCATGTCAGAGAACTTCTAGCTGATCAGGAAAATGTGGGGCTGTGGGGAGAGAATGAGAGAGGAGGGGCATTCAGGGAAAGTGAAATGTTTCCTGCAGGTATTTCTTGCCCTCAGTCGCTAAGAACCTCCCTGTTCCATGTGTTTTCTGCTGAGAGTGAGTCAGAGATAACGAAGCAGATGAGCCAAGTGGCCCCTTGCTGGTCTTTTCATAACAACAACTCAGTGTGCCAGGAATCCGTTAGCCAAGTACAGGTGGACTTGCTTTAAGGAAACGTGGCACATCTGATGAATAAAGATGCAGTAATATTTATTTTTCTGCTATAAAATTCTAGACTATACAGCAGGGAAAGGTTGAGAGGATGCTATCTGTACACACAGATCAAGGGTCGAACCTGAGCACTACCAACCTCTAGCTGTGTGACCTCAGGCCATTACTCATCTATACAGCACCTCGGTGTTCATACTTGTAAAATGGGGATGATGGTATCAACCTCACAGGTTTGTGAGGATTCCATGAGATAAAGAATCTATGGAGTCACATGGACCTGGGTGCACTCCCAGTGCTTAAAGCGACCTTGTTCAGTTACCTTGGGCACTTAAAATTTCTGATCCTGTTTCCTATAGGAATAGGGGAATAACAGCAGATAGCACATAATTTAGCGATCGAGATGGATGCAATATCAGCCATAAAATGTCAGGCACAGAGAAGGTGCTTAATAAACCTTTGAGTGTCACTTAGGAAAATATAATTTCCCTTCCTGCTTCTAGGTCAGGCTTCAGTGCTGTTTTCATGTGACCTGCACAGCAAGGCATGGGGGAGGGTGGGCCATGATGGCTGTCCTGGGTTTGATGCTCCCAGGGTCCTCTCCCTGCTTCTGGCCAAAAAGGAGCCACCAAAGTGGAAAACAGGAAGTAGTAAGGATGCAATTCAGAGGCTGAAAGGTGGCCAGACCTGATGTGGCACCAGCCCCTTTGGGAATGCAGAGACTGCCTATGATATCTAGGTTGAATGGTCCTGCTCAGCTGTCAATAAAAGCAATGTTCTAGAGCAGTGGTTCTCAACCTTCCTAATGCCGCGACCCTTTAATACAGTTCCTCATGTTGTGGTGACCCCCAATTTCATTGTTACAAATTGAACATAATTAAAGCATAGTGGTTAGTCACAAAAACAGTATGTAATTATATATGTGTTTTCCAATGGTCTTAGGCGACCCCTGTGAAAGGGTCGTTCGACCCCCAAAGGGGTCGTGACTTACAGGTTGAGAACCGCTGTTCTAGAGTAAGTTAATGAGCGACGTACAGAAACCGTAGAAATACTATCATCTCAGAATTGTAGAGCTGGAAAAGACTTCAGACGGTTTGGCCTGACCAAAGAAGGTGCCTGAGGTCTGAAGAGTGAAGTCACACAGCTGAATACAAGAACTGGGACCTGATGGAGTATTTTTCCATTTATAGCACATGGCTTCACAATTTCTACAGGTTGCCCCTCCAAAAGCAGCTTTGCCCATCCCATTTTTGCAGGTACTGGTTTGTGATGTCATTTTTTTGTTTGGTTTTTCAACGAAGAGGATGTGCCGAGTGCCACACAACAACCCACAGCGATCCTTGATTAAAGCTATGGCCTTCAACTGCAGATTCAGAATTAAGAGAAGGGATGGAAATTTATAAAAACTAGTGTTGTTTTTCAAGGACAGCTGTCCTCTCAAATGAGAATTAAGTCTAAACATTTGAATTCTCTGCTTTTATATTGTGTGTGTATTTTTAAAGAAGATGGCTGTAAAAGGTGCTTAAACAGTTAACTCTGGCTTGAAAACTAATTACTTCAATGAATATAAAAATTTCACACCTCAACTGGTGTGCTACATGTTCCATCTGGCTTCCAATCTGAAGGGAATTTATTTGCATTCTCAAACTTGAAAGCTGTGTTTCAATTTAGATAGTCTTTACTTTGAACTATTAGCTTAGGTACTGAAGGGGATATAAAATAAAGCCCTAAAAATCACAAACTTTAGGTGGATTTGGATTATGTCTGCTAATATACTGTCTGTGCTAAAATAAAAAACAGCACATGTCCTTGGCTTTCTCTTTACAATCCTCTCCTACGTGGCCTTTATGGCTTCCATGCGCACACAGGATAATTCAGACAGGCCAATTCCTACATCTGCTGTAGACATAATTATAATTACGCTCTAGATATAATTCTCTAGTAGGAGAAACCTCAAATTTTTCAGGGCCTCAAGAAGGTTGCTAAAATAAAATATAGAGATCTTTGGCATATTTTTAGGAAAAGCATGTTGTAATTTGGGCCCACAACAGTTGGGTTCTCACTGAGACCAAGTATTTAGTACACAGAGCGGCCAAGCAACACATCTTCCTTGCGGACTGCTGTTATAAATACATACGCCTGCACAGTTAGCAACCCAGTGCATTCCATACTAAATGAAAGCCGTCGGGTCTTGGAACAACTTCCAAACAGTTAAATACCAATTGGTTTCATTTAGTTCAGAAAATATTTATTGAGTGCTTATTATGTATCTAGCATGGTTAGTCTTAGAAACAGCTGTGTAAGCCTCTAGACATGCCATCAAAGTTGATTTCAAAGATTGCATCATTGTTTGTTTCCCTGTTTCGAGAAATAATTTGGTAACTAGCTACCTTTTTATTCCTAATGATTCAAAGAGAACAGTCAGACAAGGAACAGTCTGTGGCACAGAATGTTAAAGGAACAGTCTGTGGGGTCTTTTGGGATATTATACCAATACTAGAGCCAAGAAGTAAAAAATATAATTCTTCACAAACACCTTAATTTGCCAGCTTGTTGTTTTTTTTTCTCCCAAATTAGGTGTTTGTGTTGCATGAGGAATTTCAGGGAGGGACAGCACTATGCTTTTCATCGCATGCAATAGTTTTTGTTATATTCCAAGAATAGGGAAAATGGTCATATACAAGGTTAGTCCCACAATCAGGATTTTTTGTTTCCAGAGGGTTAAAAAAGGAACCTTGATTCAGGGCAATACAAGACTTTGGAAGCATAAGGGCATGTGTAAGAGTGATCTGAAAATACTGTGGTGAAGAAGTCTAGGAAGAAGCAAAGGTTTTATATAGAAAGTACTTGCACATATACAATCTTAATAGTTTTTACAATGTCACTGTTGTGAGAGTACTTGGCTATTTACAACCAGAAAAATGAGGCAATAAATAAAACTTTAGTGTTAAGTCCTATTCACTCAAGGTGACCACATCTGAAAAGTATAATAGTACAGGCAGTTCTTTTAAAAATATTTATTCTTTATTTTTTCAAACCCAGTAATCTCTGATGCCAGTAGGTGGCACTACCAGCATACAGTAAAGCAAGTAGATTTAATTCCTTTTGCTCCTGCTTAAAAAAGATGTACTCTCTTATTGAAACATGTAAGCAGCCGAAGAAATTACACTATAAATTCCTGGTTTTTCTTTAAAATAAACAACAATGCTGTGCCATTAGAAAGTTCCTGTCCTGTAACGCTAGTCTGTGCATCTCACGTCCACAGAACACAGCCTTCCTCCCCTGGACTGGACCAGGGCTGCTCTAATCCAACTCCTAAATACCCTGTCATATGACTGACACATTGCATTCCTGGCCAGCAAGAGCAGCGCTGACCAGAGGCATCACACTGAGCCTCTGATCCCCATGTCATCATAAAAATTAGTGGAACACAGTAAAACAGAAACTGGAGTCCGAGGAAATAAAAATATAGAAACACCTGAAAATAAATCAAGTTAATGAAAATAATCCAGTTAATGAAACCTAATTGGGTGATAGAAGAAACCTCAAGAAAGAAATATAAATCGAGGAACCATTTGGAAGAGGGGGACTCAAAAAGGAGAAGGAAATATGAGGAGTTTTGGGTACCTGTGAATAGCTGCGAAGAGGTCTTCTGTGGTCCGGGGTCTACTGGGGGTCATCACCTCATCACTCCCTTCTTCCTTAAGGAAGTCAAAGACCTCTGGGGAAGAGCCAGCCGCGTCGGGCTCCGGCACCCGGGCTATGGAGAAGCAAGCAGCAAACACAAGATTCACAAGTGACTTGAATTTCAGTCTTTCGCCAAGCTCCCAGTACGCTTCCCTGTCATTCCTGACAACGTGAGAACCACAGGGATGGGCAATGGGGTTTGATATTTTATAAATACGGGGAGCATGCTAGCCAAAGCTCTTTCTTTTGTGTTCAAGTCTAGATCTCCCAATGAAGCTCTTAAATCGTGTTGTAACGTTACTTTGTGGCTCTCCGGAAGGGAGAGTACTCAGTGCCATTTAATACCCAGCCTGCTGCAGACCACCACCCCCTCCACCCCTCTATTCTCTGTCCTTCTGTAAGCTCTACCCTTAGATCTAGATTTTTTTTTAACATTTCACACAATGCCAAGCTAGTAACCTAAGTGTGAGGCAGCGCAGGAAACCGACTGCTGGCTCTAACGTGCACACGCACCAGCCCTGTCTGCCTCGGCTGCACATGGTAGAGGAACAAGAGAGAAAACCCGACTCACGCCCTGGGTCCTGCAGAGCCGGGCAGCGCTCCTCCGCATGGCCCCCGCGGTCCACGCTGTTCTCGGTGCCTGGCTCCTCCTGCTTGGGGGCTGGCGAGGCACTGGGCTGCACCATGGGGACATTGGCTTCCCTTCTGCCTGGGGACGTGGATCCTGCAGCTCCTCCCTCAAGAACCGAGCTGCCGGAGGAGTCGGTCTCATCAGAACCAGCCGGGGCTGCACCAGTCTCGTTGGCCTCTCCCCTCGTGGGGCTGGGCACCGCTCCACTCACGTTCTCTGCTGGCTCCACTGTGAAATCTCTCTGCGGAGGTGGCACCACCAGGAACAGTTTGGGCTTCTTGGAAATGGGGGGTGGCTTCTTGCTGGGCGAAGGTGCGGGGGCCCTCTGGAGCGGGGCGGTCCCGGGGCCCGGCCCGGCCTCCGCCTCCCCGGCACTGCCCGGGCTGCGGCTCGGGCGGCCACGCTCGGCTGCACCGTCCCGGTGACCCTGACTCATGATCTTGGCAGGAGTCGGAAGCGGGCTTGTCTCGGAGGCAGGCTGGCTTTCACTCTCCATTTCATTTATGCTATTTCGGGATTTCAGCAAGGCAGATGGCTTTAAATGATACTGGGGCACCGGCGGAGTTCGTTTTTCCTGAGATGCTGGTTCAGATAGCGGCGCTCCCTGGGTTCCTGAGTTCCTTCTCACCGGCCTGAGCTGCACCGTCTGCAGGGCCTCGGCGGTGATCAGGGGCAGGGGAGGCCTGCCGCCCTCCTCCGTGGTCCCCGGCGGTCTGCAGGCCTCCTGCGGGGAGGTTGGCTGGCTAGACTTTTTGAATGAAGGCCTGGCATCTTTCATCAACTTGGGGTCGAGTGGTGGGGCAGGAGGAGGGACCGAGGAGGGTAAAGAGGGTGGAGGGGGTAGCACCGAGGCAGGTGAGCCCAGAAGGGGGCTCCGGGCGGTGGGGGGAGGAGGAAAGCCTGCGTCGGGAGAACAGAAGGGAGTGAGAACCTCTGGGGGTGGAGGGGGGAACAGGGGAGACCGAGGCAGAGGGCCCTCGGGGGAGTCTGCTGAAGGCGGCGGAGGAGGGAGGAAAGGAGACGTGTCCGCGGGACATGGAGACGAGGGAGAGGGGAGAGAAGGGGCAGCAGGCAGAGAGGCCGGCGCCGAGTCCAGCCTCCTCACCGTCCCGCCTCCCTCCGTGGACGTGTTAGAGGACAGGGACGTGGACGAGGAGGAGATGGAGACCGAAGACACCAGGGAGGACTTCCTCTCTGGAACCTTGGGCTTGGGCTTGCCCTTCCCATTGGCGGGCGACATGGACTTTAAAAACACAGGCACGGGGGTGAGCGCGGTGGGCGTGTTGGACTGGCTGGAATACCCGCTGGAGGGGGAGGTGACCCGGTGGGCCTTCTCAGGCGACGTGGTCTTTGGTTTGACGGAGCCGCCGGGCAGGTGGGGCGCAGCGGCCCTGCACCCCTCCGGGACGTGGCGGCCCGGCCCGTTGCCAGTTGGCGCCCCGCTGCCAGCCGCACGGCCCCCGCCGGGGCTCGCAGGGTCGTCCTGCAGGCCCGTGTAGTCGATATAGTAGCCCCACGGGTCCGTGTACTCGGACTTGACGCTGCTCGTGTCGCTCTGGGACGGGGTGACCCCGCCCGGCGCGCAGCCATGGGGTGCGGTGGCCGAGGCCAGGCTGCTGCCCCCGCTGACGGTGCTCTGGCTGCGGGAGCGCGGCAGCCACGGCTCCTCCAGGTCGCTGCAGGGGCTCTGCGAGGGCGACAGGCCGCCCTGGCCCCGGAGGCTCAGCTGCAGCGAGTGCTGGAGGGAGGCGATGAGGCTCTCGTTGAGCACCTGCCCGTTGGCCTGGCCGTTCTTCTTGGGGACCCTGCGCAGCGAGTCCGTCCGAGAGGGGGGCAGGGGCGGCTTCTTTGCTTTCTTCAAGGAGATGTTTCGAGAATGGGATTTGTCCCCCTGGTTCTTCGGAGCTCTTCCATCAAACACATTGACCACGCTGTGCCTGGGGTTCCCAAAGCCATTGCTGCTGTTGCTGCTGCACAGACTCCCGGGCCCGGGCCCAGCATCGGGGTGCACAGATGCGTAGTAGCCATCGTGGTCCTCTGAGTACAGGGACCTGGCGCCCTCTCTGTGGCACGTGTGGTCCAAACTGCAGCTGCTCATGTTACTTCCAGGAGTGGAGCAACCAGGAGTCGCCACGTGAGGCTTCAGGGGGGATGCCCGCCCGCTCCCCGAGGCACTGTATTCCCAGGGCTCCCCGCCACCATGCCCCCCGCCTCCTGAGTAACTGGGCTCGCTCTGGCCGTCCACGTCCTGGGGGTGGGCTGGGAAGTTCGGGTTCCTTCTACAGGTATAGGCCATGGCTTGGGACCCGTTCTCCTGGTTTGCTGGGGTGTTGAGGGAGACTGCCGAGTCACAGAGGGCCAGGAGCGTGGCTGCCCTGGGCGGGTGGGGGTCGAAAGCCCGCGAGACGATGGTGGAGGGGCCCTCACTCCAGGTGCCACTGGGAGACGGGCGGTCGCCTTCACCAGAGTGCCTGGGCAGCAGGTGGTCTCTGGGTCTCACCTTCGTGTGGGAAGAGGAGCTGGTCATTCTACTGTCCAGCTGCCCCAAACTCTGAGCAGTCTGGATAGCAATAACCTCTGAGGAGGAGGAGAGGGTGGCGTTGGGGATGACGCTGGTGCTGTACGTCCCGTGGGGAGACACCACGCACGCTGGGCTTGCTCTGTTTTCACTCTCAAAGCGCCTCAGCTCCTGAGATTTGGGCCTAAAAAGCGTCCCGGTCCTTGAGGCACCTCCTAACTGCCCTGGGTTTTCGAACGTGCCATCCAGGTCTTGCGCAGGGCCTGGGGCGCCCGGCCGGGGCTCCAGGGACTGAATGCTGGCCCTCGCTCCGGATCGGGGGAGGCTGTGGAAACCCACATCGGTGTTGAGGCGAGAGGGGAACACGATGCCCGCAGAATCGCTCAGCACAGACATGTTCCCGGAGGAGCCTGACAAGTGGCTCATCTGGGCGGCGATGCCCTGCCCCTTCTGGGCCCTGATTCTCCTCATGGAAGGCGGCACGACCTTCACCTCCTCCGTCTGGCAGCTGGAGTCCCGGGTTTCCGAGCGCTGCCCCGCAGACCGGCAGCCGCCAAGCCTTCCTAGTGTGGAGCAGTGGTCGGGGGCGTACACCGAGTGACCACCAACACCATCCTGGCCGGTGCCAGAGGCTGCAGATAAAGCAGAAGGAGGCTTGTTACCTAAAACTCGGTCTCTTAGTTCATTACCTGAACCCTCACCTCTTTCTGACTCTGCTGTATTTAACATAACACACACACACAAACTTCTCTATTTCATCTAGTTTCTTTCCTCCCATAGGCACCTGAGTGAGTTTAAATAGTTACCAAATAGCTCCTAAAATAAAAGTACTTATGAATTTCATGTACTTAATTTATACTTCCAAATCCTCCTATAGATTAATTCTTAGGTACCCCCTTTGAGATCAAGGCTGAGAGCTCTGTGGAAGGTTTACTTTTCAATAACCTTTCGGTTTTGTAAAGATTTCAAAGTAGCCAGTCACCTACGAGGCGCCTGCCCAGAGCATCTGTCTGTCATTCAGGGACTGACTTTTCCAAAGACAGATGAATGTAGCAGTTCAACAACAGGGCTTCAAAGATACCATTTATGAAGGATATGGGTATAAAACAGTGTTAATTTCTGTGGCAGAAGAAAATCCTAAGAAAAAGAAAAATGATTTATAGGCCCATCTGTGTTTCAAACATTTCTATTATCCAACTCAAGCCATTATCATCTGTCTGTCAGTGACATTCAAAATTCAACAGCAATCTGTTGTGTGCTGGTAGGGAAAAAGCAGCGGGAACTGATCCAGGGAGCGTTTCCTCAAATTAGCGTTATTCATTTCTTGGAGCTTTACAAAAAGAAAAAAGCACAAGGAAGGCCAAACAGAGAGGGAAGTGGAGGAGAAAACACCTCAAATGTAGATAACAGTTAGATTTCAAGTACCTAGGAAAGAACAGAAGCTTTAAAAAAAATCGTGAAGGCAAAATGTACAGAGAAAAAAATCAATTCATGCAGAGTAATCATTAGGACAAATTAAGTCTTGAAAATTAGTAGCAAAACCACAGTTCTCTCTGGACAGTTCTCACCCAGCAAGGACCCGAAAAGAGCTCAAGCAGGGGCTTGCTGAGTGATGCTGGTTGGGCACCCACCAGCACCACTGCTCACCAGCAAGCACCAAGCACGCTGGGTGATGGGATTCGGGAGCCCTCCCTCCACACCCCACATTAATCCCCGAGTGCAACTAAAGCCTTGTGCTCATCCAAACAGCAAAGCACTTAACTAAAATGGCAGCAATGTTCCTGGGACAAACCAAGATGTCACCCTGTGGAGGCAGGCACCCAGCACAAAGCCCTGCCCTTCACGGTGCTGATGGAGAATCATTTTTGCACTCGTATCTCGACCCAACAGGATCCATTTCCTTCTCCTTCCCCTCTGCCAAGTACCCACTCACTAAAGATACACACAAACTCACACACGCACACTCACACACATATGCATATGAGGTTCTCCCTTAGAAAGAGCAGGAGCAAGCAAGAGGGCAGGAACAGAAGAAAAATCCACTTTGAGGAAAGAGAAACAAAAGGTACACGTTTTGCCATTTGGTACAAGTATAGAAGGTGGGAGCCTGGCTTGTATGGCTCTATCAGTTTGTACTAGTTTGATTCCAAACATTCAAGATACCTAGTCTACTCAATGATGGGATTTAATATCCTTTCTCACCCCCCCCCCCAAAAAAATTATAGTAGTTTTTGCATGGGATCAATGGTAGATTTTTAACTGTCTCTAAGGCCCATAATGTCCTACTTATTTCAGGTTACAATTTTGAACGTGAAACCATTCTAGGCTTCTGAAAATGGGAATATAGCCACTTCTTCCCCATCTACAGCCAAGTACAATTTTCTTATTAAGATAACCCTATTTTTCTAAAGACCTTTAAAAATGGAAAAACTCATATACATTTAACAGAGAGGCCACCAAAATTCTATTCCCAAAACAGGTCCTCCAATATTTTCACACTACAAAAAGTGTCACAATATTACAGATTCAGATGCTACATTGATTAGAATTAAAGATCAAAACCAGACTACAACAAGAGAACTACAAACAATTATAAACAATCAGATGCTGCTAAAAATATTGATGGGATTTATCTGATTTAAAAATATAGTGTAAAGAAATAATTATGTATATATATTTTTTACTTATTATATAATACTATAAGGGTTTTTCAATTTTTAAAGAACACATGTAATCAAAGATAGAAATCTACTAGTTAATTTTAAGGTTTACATAGGATTTTTAAAAAGTCTTATCAGCACCTGTAACTAATATATTATTGCATGTCAAGTATAATTGAAAAATAAATCTTAAAAAGTCTTGGCAGGTCTTTAGTAATGTTTTTAATACAAACTATCAGAAATTATTCAGAAGGAGATTCCTTTAAATGAGGCTTTTTCTGCTTGGGAAACGCATATTGGGATAAGTTCCAGAAATAGCCAAATATAATTACACATCAACAAAATAATCCTGAGTCTAAAAAATAAAAGAAACCTCACAATAGGGAGTTCAAATATATTTCAATGTATGTTTAAGATAAGATTAAAGAAAAAAATTAAAATTTTATCCAATTTATTTAAATGGAAGGCAACAAATAATAAGTCATCAAATATGCTTTGGAAGTAAATAGAAAATATCATAACCTTGATTTTAAAGTGTTATATATTAGCTAGTCTCTAGAGTCCATTTACGTATTTTGAAGTAAAAGCTGCATATAATTAAGCATAATATAAATATAACTCTAATTCTGGACACACCTCTGGTTAGATTTTTAAAAAATCCAAAGCCCTGGCAACCTGGGTAGTGTTTAGTGGACAGGACATCTAGAAAATTCCTAAAATGAATAAAGAAAAAAATATGATTCAATTTTTTTCCCTAAATGTTACTGTATTCAAATGTTATTTTTCCCTTATTCTATCCACCATTCCTTCCAACTAGTCTACCTATAAAACTAGTCATTGTGCCCTGGCCAGTGTGCAGAATGGTTAGAGCACTGGCCCTGCACCAAAGGGTTGTGGGTTCGATTTCCAGACAGAGGCACGTACCAGGGTTGCAGGTTCAATCAGGGCAAGTGTGAGAGACAACCAACCGATGTGTCTTTCTCACATCAATGTTTCTCTCTTTCCCACCCTCTTTCACACTCTCTAAAAATTAATGGAAAAAATATCCTCGAGTGAGGATAAAAACAAAAAATGAGAGGCATTGTCTAATTGTCTTTTTTTTTAAAAAATAGTTCTAACTTAGATATAGCTGTCTCAGAAGACCTCCAGCTGTGATCCAGGTCATATCATTGACTGTGCAATGACATCAGCTGCTGCATATCTGGCAACAATCACAACATTGATGATATGGGGAAAGCTATTTTCTTTCCTCCAGCCTTAAGAGTGGTTCCATGTCACATGCAAAAGAGAAATAAACATGAGCTCCAGGGGCTCAAACATTCATTTAAAAAATATTACAATGACAGAAGATATGAGTTACCAAGCTGGCCAAATCATTCCAGTGAAGTCAAAGAGGCAAGTGAGGGATTGGCCCATAGTGGTTGGCTCAGTAAAAAAAATGATAAATGTTCATAATTCTGAGGTTCTAGAATTCATATTACATACATATATGGATAATTTATACTGAATACTTAATGTGCATGTGCATCTTATCTGGGCCAAACTATTCTTACACCCTTTGCACAAAGCCATCCAAAACCTAGCTTTCCAACCAATTAAAATGTAGCCTACTCTTGAAACGTCAACCTTGTTATCTTACAAAGGGTCTATCTTTAAAGTTGCTCCTTTTGGTTAAGACACATCTCTTAAAGATCAGTTCAAATACAAATGTTACCTGAGTCCTGTAAGAGATTAGCTCATTAAGCACCTACCGAACATACATATACATATTAATTTCTCAAATTAATTAGCCGTCATCTAAAAGAGAAAAAAAAGTCTGAAGGAACAATACAGAAGGACTGGCCACTAAAAAAAGCAGCATGTGGGGGCATGAACCAAAGGCAGACCGCACAATCCGGTGGGTGTAATCTTGCCTTTGTTCTAACCCCTGTGTTATGGGATAAGACGAGCACCTGGACGTCATCTGGGTCACTGGAGCTACCTAGAGCAGAAGCAAAGCTCTGCTATTCTTGTCTCGTTGCTGCAGTCTGGAAGGCAGAGCATACATACTGGGGAACTGAATGGCAGTCAAAGAGGAAATGTCACATAAAGAAGAATGAGCAGGGGTGCTGGAAAAACATACATAGGAGCAGTGTCTATAGCCCCTGGAAGCTGAAATGCTACCTCAAAGTGCTATAACAGGCATACCACTATGGCTAGGATACATTCATTTTAACTAAGAGGCAAGTTCAGAAGGAAGAATTCTGAGTTTCTAGAGTAAAACCTTTAACAATAAATGACAGTAAAAACATCAGGTGAAAGTACTCATAATGAAATAAGTTCAGAGGTTGGCTGAAGAGAAAGGCACGTTTCTAGAAGGGTAGTATTAAGTTCCCTACAGTAATTACAAATAGTAGTACCAGATACCGAGGGCTTCCTTTATATTAATTCATTGAATCCAAACAACCCTCCCTTGAATGGGAAGCAGACTCAGAGAGGGGAAGGAACCAGCCGGAGGTCACCCAGAGAGTTAGTGGCAGAGGTCGGGTCCACATCCAAGCAGCCTGGCGCCAGAGTCCCTGTGCTGACCCAGTCTGCCTTGTTGCCTCTGCAGACATTCCTGATGGGCCCATTAAAAAACAGAGAAGAAGTGAAGATAGAAAGAGGAGAATGAAGAGATTATCCACAGTGTATATACAGATAAGCAGAAACAAATGGATAAGTGAATAATGAAGTAAACAACCTCTCCACTAGCTAGTTTTTTTGTTTGTGTTTTTTCTGTTTTTATCACAGGTTGAAAAATACTGACTCAAAATCTATGAAGTTGTTTCATTGGAAGTACAGAAATGCACTATCCAACCTAAATGACTTTTTTCTATCATACTAGTAGTTACTAATTATCCCCCACTGCTGTCTCTTTGATGACAATGCCACCGATATTGTCAGTATAACTAATGAAGTCCATTTTCGTAACTTGAAGCTCTAGAATGAGTTTTCAGTTTTATGAAAACTTTAAAATCTAAATGAAAAGTAAATTTCATTGTGGCAATTCCCCACTGTTCAGGTACATGGAGATGATGACGTAACTGTGAGTTTCTACCATCCCAGTGAACAGTTTTCATATTAACTTCTCGTCTTACCTTGTCACCAAAATTCAATACATCATCTGCATGGGGTGTTAAGATTGGAACTCAGTGCCTCATTCAGAAAAGAAGCTGGCCCTTTGGGGCACCGAATGGCTATCAGAATGTATCGATTTCATAAGCATCACAGATGAGGTTAGCACAGGAATGCTGAGCAGCAATGAGGGGCAACAGAATACAGTTCTGATGAGCCATACCTAGCTCCTTGTGTATGTTGTCAGGGACTCCTGTAATAGTCTTTCTCCTTTTGACTTTCTTCGGTCGTCTTACCAGAGTGTCTGTGTAAATTAGAGACCGCCGAAGGCTGGCCTGGCGATCGAAATTCTCCCCTAATGTAGAGTAGTAGAACAAGCAAAGCAATGTTATTTTCAAGCAAGCTGACACCATGCACTTTCTTCCAGAAGCTTGTTGTCAAATGCTAAGAAGGTATTAATAATGATGTTAGCCAGTCATGTGGTGATGAATGAATGCTGAAGGGCAAAAAAGGAAGGAAAGCACATTATCATCATAAGGCTCTTTTCCAATTTCTCTGTGTGTGTCCTTCCAAAGGAAGCACCTGGATCTCATTTCCAAATGAGCTGGAGTGGAAAATGCAAATTTGTTAACAACACGCCAGAAGAGTGATTCTGCATTATTTTAAACATGAGTCATCTGGGAAGTGCTTCACGTAGGTCCTCTGGTCTCAGACATCACTCATTACATCAGCGTGCATGTGATGATGGCAATAAATGTATCTTAATCATTTAGTCAACTCCAGAGACCATCACAATGTCCCATCCTATGTGATGAAACAGATAACTTAGTCAAGAACTCTCAGATGAAGAGTTTTTCTTCCAGTCAAGGAGGCCAACGATTTGGACAGACTGTGGAAATGAGCTGTGGTGTGAGATACTATAATGAAAAATAAAAGCCTTATAATGATAAAGTACTTTTACCACAATGAGACCCAGTAGCACTGCTGTTGTTAAAGCTGGACTGCTTTAGTTCACAGTCACTTGCAATAGTTGATATGAATTTAGATATTCAGGTAATGCTGCAATCAATCCCCAAATGTCAGATCCACAGGACTTCTTCCTCTCGAGAATGTGAGCTTGTGTGATTGACACACAATGGGAAAACATTAAAAAATAAAGTATCAGTTTTTGATTGGTCTGCTTTAAATGACTTGCCAGCTTAATTAAAGAAAGCTTCATAGCACTGACCTTGTCAAGTGGTTACATCCTCAAAAAGAGATTTTAAAAATACATATATACACACAAATTATGTACTTCCATCATTCTTTTGTTGTGAGAAAAGTATAAAAGCAATCTCTCTTTTTAGCAATATTGACACATTCAAAGTGGGTATTTTGTGAACAAGGTACTTTCTATTATAATAGCAATAAGTTGTAAATAAAACTTGATCTAATCAAAACAGACAATAAAAGAGCTGAATGATCAAACTACATTTCACCTACTAAGGAACAAACTTCAACTTGAAAATGCTTGCCTCTTTGTTCCTAATGGAGGAAAACAGAAACCACTGAGAGAAGACCCTGCAACACCAGAAGGTACCATCGCTGTAACAAACGTGTCGCTCTGTGCAACAACATATAAGGTGTTTGTAAGTGGCAAGTCATGCCTTGAATGGTCCATTAGTTCCCTGCAGCAGAGGGGAAAATACTTCCTTGTATCAAGGCATTAAGAATGGTTAAAACATTAATAGATAGTTGCATTTAGTCTCCAGTTTTGCTTCCTAAACAAAAACAAAAGATAAACCACTCAAGCTCCCAGGAAATTAAGAAACAAACCATGAGGATAGACATCACCATTAAAGATGTCAAACTCGCCCTGGCTGGTTTGGCTCAATGTTCAGAGTGTTGGCCTGTGGACCAAAGGGTCCCGGGTTTGATTCCAGTCAAGGGCACATGCCTGATAGATTCCCAGTGGGGGGTGTGCAGGAGGCAGCCGATTAAAGATTCTCTCTCATCATTGATGTTTCTCTCTCTCTCTCCCTCTTCCTTCCTCTCTGAAATCAATATAAATATTTTGGGAGAAAAAAGTTATCAATTAAATAAATAAAAATAAAGGCGTCAAACTCTCCATCTTGCACTGTTACCTAAAAGGACTGTGTCCCCTGCTGGACTATACATTTCTTGAAGGCAGGGACTACGATTCATGTCATTGCCTGACATAAAATAGTTATTCAGTAAATACTGAATATTCAGTAAATATCTGAGAGGGATTGAATCATTCTCTTTCACTGAAAAATGGCATTAGTCAGTCATGCTTACTACTCAGAAATAAATTTTGCTGGCTCAAACATCAATACAAAGCCAGTTTGTAAAAACTGCTTAAGTATGTTTACCCACTCTTATTTTCCAGGTGGAAGAGTTGTTATCCCACATGGCAAATTATGAAACATACTCATATATACATTTTACTTTAAACATTTTTTTCTCTTCAACATTTAGAACATGCTGAGTCCCATAGAACTACAACCAAAGGGGTTAAATTGGTTTTCAAGCTTGCAGCTCATTGCGCTAATGTTCTACCTCTATGCCTGGCGGGTTTTACTTTGGATTTGAAGTAATATATTTGTCGGCACTTTTCCCTCAGCTGAACCTTACTGAAAATCAACTAGAAGGTCAATGTTTACCCAAATAAATGAGCATTTGACAATTCCCAACAGGAAGGTACATTTTTATCTCAAGAGTCATCTGGAGCTTTAGAAAATGTCATTTAAATAGCAGGAAACTGTCTAACCCATGTCAATTCAACTACTAAAAGTGACAATTTTTAATTTGATGCCTTTTTATACCAGAATTATAGAAAAACTACTCCCTTTATGAAATATATGTATGTGTGTGAACACATGCATCCAGAAAATGGATCAATACATATGTAATTAGGAATTACATTTAATTTCTACATTTCTAAAAACATTAATCACACAAAAATAAATTGCATTTTGATATAACTCATATTGCTCTTTTTTTGTCATTAACCTTTCCTGTGTGGCATTCTGAAGGCCTCTTTTTAAATTTTATGTAATTCTTATCAAACGGGAGAGAATTAAAGCTCAAAGAAAGGACACTGTCTCCTGTTGTGACAATGCATTTCATTGTAAATAATTCATTACTCCTAAAATTCTAGTTACTCTCCTTTAAATTTACTAATGTCACAATAATATATTTTATCCTAATTCCATTATGGATTGTCATATTTCATAGCACAATCTATTTATAATATTATTCCTGAGGCATTTAATCATACATAATTACATTTCTGCTGCATTTAATCAATCAAATAATGTAATGCATATTCTTACAGAAAATATGCACCTATGTATTTCATTGAGCAATAAACATTATACTTTGTTCTGAAACATAGCTACTTAAAATAATAATCTTTAAAAAAATATGATCTCTAGGTGAACAAGAATCACATTCAGAAAGATCAATGATGTTATCTGCAAAGAAAATAGATTAAAGTGCCATGATATTCTTCCTTTAAGGCTTATGCACAATAAATGTGTGAAACGCACATGGAATTTAAAATAATTCATGCACTTATTTATTACATTTCTCTGGAATTCAAAATGAGTTCTAAAAGTAATTTTTAAGTGCAAGGTTTTTAAAAATTCTCCAATAACTATCAAAATGTCATTAGTCCTTTAAAAGTTAACCAATGCCATGGAAAAAGCTTTCTAATGGCAGTCAACAGCAATAGTCTCAGAAATGCAGCAAGTGTGCTATGGTTTTCACCCTAATTTTTAATGAAAACTCATCCTTACTGGTCACCTGATTTCTTTTAGATTCTAGCCCTGTAAGCCTTGCTTTGTATGGACTGATAATCAATGATGACGATCGGTACTCTATTTCTTTCTAACACACAGTCCAATGGCTGAAGCTATTAACTCTTAACACATCTATTTTGCACTGTGTACATGCCCACCAATGTGATAAAACAGGAAAATTTTGTTATTTTTAACAGCTCATCTAAGTTTGTGAAATACTGACTTTGAACTTCATGTACCTTGTAATTTGTCACCTTTAATTATCACAGGTGATTAAAACTTGACCATACTATTCTAAAAGAACTTGAATTTTACATGTGGCAACTAATATTTATATTCTAAAAATTTATATTAAAAATGAACTTTTATTTGAAGATTGTAGAATTCAAATTTTAGGGATCTAAATCTAACTTTACCATCCTATTGGGTTTTCTTTAAAATATGTTTTATAGTTATTATTAATTCACTTGATATTTTTATTTCAAGTAATTGTTCCCTCTTTTACCTGAGAAAACAAAAAGGTAAAATCTATCATTAAGAAATACCACAAAATTGTTATTTCTTTACTTTTATAAATATTACTTAAAATAGCCCTTTAGGAAAAAAATAACACATAATTTTTCTTATCCAAAATCACATTTAGAATATGTCTCCATATAATCAAAATATTTTTTAAAGGTAAGTCAATTTAAAAAGACAGGCTTTAAATGAGTGGCTGGACCATGGAGTTCTTCCACATCAATCTTTGGTGACACAGTCTTCTAACTTAAAAGCAACAGCTATTTTACATGTACACACACAAATATGTTTTAGTATTCCCTTCATTAAGCAAAGGAATATACACATATTACAGCTTTCCCTCTGATGTATAAAATGCTAAGTGCATATGACAACAACAACAAAAAGCCACAGCCATTCTCCGGAGTACATTTTGAACCTTGTCTACACAGCGAAGCATACCGGTTATGTTAATAGGAACCACATCAGCCTGGACTGTCTGGGCATGCAGTCGCATCTTCTCTTCTGGTGTTGGCAAGGGAAGAGACTGGGCCCAGTTCGTCTGAGTATTAAGGTCAGGGAGGTCACTTGAGGTTGGCGTTTTAGGTCTCCTGATGGAAATATGTCTTTCCTCTTCCAAGGAAGAGATAGAACCCTGTAGGGGGAATGAGGAAAAAGAAGCCACAGTGTGTAAAGAGATGACAGAAACATTTTTTTATATTTAAACTGATTTGAAGCAAAAAACAAACAAACAAAAACAAAAAAAACACCTGGTCACATTTAGGAACAGAAGCAATGGTTTGCAAGAACTCTGCTCAGCATCCTGAGCATGACCGGTAATATTTATGATTTGCAGAGGCCAGAGTCCCTGCCTAAACCATGACTGTGAAAGGTTTTGCTGACCCACAGAATCTTAAGTTCTTCCTGTTTCCTGTGGTCAGAAGATTATGGATTCAGTTTAACATAAGAAGCCCCGAGACACAACACGGCTGTGACCATCAATTTCCATTTTTATTAAAATGTAGTTTGGCTCAAAATAATTTCTAGCCTCAATCTCATTTCCTTTAGGCTCTGGCCTCAAGGGACATTTAGAAAATGATAGAGCTATTGTTGTTTGACTACTTGTGCTCTTCTGAAACCATTTATATGGAAAAATATCTGTGTGAAATTGTTTACTTATAAGAAGCTGACTAAAGCTGTGCTCTGAGCCTTATCAGAATTCCATGAGAACATTTCTAGCAGTGTCGGTTTTGATACAGATTAACATCCTAACTGGGGACCATCTTTAATACCGTTCCTCCCATAACATCTTAAAAAGTGTAAGCAAGTGCCCTAACTGGTTTGGCTCAGTGGATAGAGCGTCGGCCTGCGGACTCAAGGGTCCCAGGTTTGATTCCGGTCAAGGGCATGTAACCTTGGTTGCGGGCACATACCCAGTGGGGAGTGTGCAGGAGGCAGCTGATCGATGTTTCTCTCTCATCGATGTTTCTAACTCTCTATCCCTCTCCCTTCCTCTCTGTAAAAAATCAATAAAGAATGAATATATATATATATATATATATATATATATATATATAAAGTGTAAGCAAGAAAGCTGTTTTGGCAAGCATCTGATGATGGCCCCGTGGCAACTGGGTTGGTGAGAAGGAAGCTCCAAGAATTCAAAAGAAATACACTGTGCTCAGGCACAACAACAAAAAGGGGTAATTGACTTTTGTTGGGAGATGGCAGTTTATAATAAGAATAAATGTATAAGAACAGTTCTTCAAGTTGAAAGCATTTAAACTACCACCTATGAAAACAAGGCACTTAAAAGAGTTTTATTTAAGAATAAAAAGTCAGTGAATCTTCCCAAGGGAACACCTATAAAACCCGGACCCAGGTCACTTCAGCAGCTCTCCTCTCCCTCAAAGCAAGGGTAACTGCTGTCCTGACTTCTAACATCACAGCGTCCTTGGCCTGTATTGAACTTTCTGTAAAGGAAAAGTTCTGCAGGTCTCTTTTGTGACTTCTTTCACCCAACATTTCATTTGGAAAGATTGATACTTTTTAAAAAAATACATATTTTTTATTGATTTCAGAGAGAAGAAAGGTGAGGAAAGGAGAGATAGAAACATCAATGATGAGAGAAAAATCACTGATCTGCTGCCTCCTGCACGCTCCCTGCTCCCCAAATGGGGATCGAGCCTGCAACCTGGGCATGTGCCCTGACTGGGAATCGAATCGTGACCTCCTGGTTCATAGGTCAACACCCAACCACTGAACCACACCAGTCAGGCAAGGATTGATCCATTTTTAAAAAGCATATGTTGATGCCTTTTTGGATTAAATGCAAGTTTTTAAGAGGACATCAGTAAGAAATCTATAGAAACCCATCATTTAGAAATCTCAAACACTTAGAAGAGAACACTGTCATCACTACTGTTAATGAATTAACCTTCCCACACAATACCTGTATTTATTCTACAAGTACCGCACTCCGCAATCTGAAGAGGGCTACACAGAACAGATGAAAATGGTTTGGCGTGTTAGGGATAGGGTCTTAGGTGAAGAATCCAAACACCTGAGTCTACTCACTTTATAACTTACAGTCAAGGGACCTTTAGGCTGTTCCGAAATGTTGAGGTCCCTTGCTGTAAAATGGGAATATCCTGTACTCTTAGGACCTCATGAGATGATAGCTGTGGAAATGTCTAGGACAGTTAAATGTCATGGCCATAAAGGTGGTGGTCATATAAATGCGACTTCACGAAAACAAAACCATGAATTGACAAGTACCTGCACTTTTCTTCTATTGCAAGACTTTCCATAATAAATGCATTATAGAAATAAAAATATAAATTATATAACTAGACATCTCAGTATTTTTTACTTTAAATTCTTAATGCATAAAACATGTAAAATGATAATCTACTTTCTTTTCCACCTAAAGAAACTATAAAATGTCTGTAATTAAATAACGAACATACTCAATTGGAGTATATGTTACTGACATCTTAATCATGATACTAAATTACACCATATCCATTCATGTTTGATCTGACACTGGTTACAGCTCCTACAGATCCTGAAAAGACAAAGGAATGTTTGAGTCGGCCGCAGCAGCTAAGCCAGGCTGACATAAATCAATTATTTCTGCCCCCTTTGCAGTTGTGCTACTCTTGTTAAGTTTGATTTATAATACAGATTCTCTACTCTTACACTGTAGCTACACATACACATAAATTAAAGAAAATTTTGAGAATTTCATATCAATTTGTATAAAGGTCACATGTCTGAGGATGAAGCTTAATCTAGTAAATTAAAAGGTCACTCCAATTTTCTGACATATTTACATAGAAATAATTCCCCAGGCAACCTTGAAATATAACACAAATTTCGAAGGCCGTAAGAAGCACATCCTAACTGAAAGTTTTAAAAGAAAGGAAAGCTTCAGATGGCCAGAGAATAAACAGCACGGTGACATCCTGCGGAGAGGGTTCCCGTTTCGTGTGACGTCCGCTGGAGGGACCTGGAGGAACTCAGTTCTGTGGTTTGCATGCGTCTCAGAGGTGCTCATCAGGCCTTGTAACCTACTTTTCTTTTAGTTGTCAGAATCGATAACTATCACAATGGAACGGTACTTCAGTTAGCTTCGTTACCATGGGACGATCACCAGGGACAGCTCCAATGTGACAACTGACAAAGATCATCTGTTTTGTAAAGAGCTCCCTTCATTTCAAGAAAATTTCCCAGACCAGCAGGGCACAGGTAACGTTACATGCAGAGTGACTGTTAGATAGTGCTACAACCTACTGAAGAAAATTTGAAAACCAGGATGGTATGACTTCCAAAATGACCTGACCCTTGCCTCCTAGTATTTATAAATGCAGCAGGCACACAGAAAAAAACCTCCTGCATCTCAATGGCAGAACACAGCACAAGTACTCCATTAAGACAGACATGGAACGCTCCCGATTACTACCTTAGCCTCTTCTCTGGCCTGCACGCTTCTGTCCTTGTTGACTACCCTCCCGTACTCCTCCCCTCCCAATAGCGGATTTTCCCAGCACCACAGCCAGGGCCATGGTGCTCCTCCCTCCTCAAACCCTCCCAGATCCTTACTAATGGGCCTACAAAAACCCCTACGAACGGGATCTAATGAACTTGGCCCCCCCTGCCAACAAATGACCCTCATCCTCCAAACTAGCCTGGTCCCTTGTTTTATTCAGCCCAGCCACATCCCCCCTTCCCCGAGTTCC